CGAATGAAGAAAGCGAACGAGCTCGTAGAGCGGTTTTTTTTTTATTTTTAGTACTGACGATCCTGTTGTCGGAAGCGGGGGAATGAGGGCGTGGCGATCATGATGTTCGCGCCTTACTCGGGCGGCCATTGGTTGGATGACCTGAGGGCGATCCGGGGTATCGAGGATAGCTCTGTCGTCAAGGGCTTGTTCTTGCTGAATTCCTTCCATTTCCGAGTCTATATCGTGAGTTGGAGAATTTCGGCCCCCTACCTGGCGCGCCAATTGTTGATCCATGAGTTCGACAATAAATTTATATATAGTAAAAGGATCGGAAATTCTTGTTTATTGATATTAACTCGGAAACGAGCTACAACATAGAATATTGTACATGCTAGAAGAAGATTGTGTATTGAGCTCAGAAGCTTAGATCGGCTGACGAACCTTGTGTTCGGTTATCTGAGTATCGGAGTGAGTTATGAGATCGTCGCTTTCAAGGTCGGAACCTGTAACTGAAAACGAGATCGGGTTAGAGATCTAAACTGACTGAATAACTGAATGACGAGGTCGGTGGATCGTAGGTCGGAACCTGATGATAAGAGCCCTTGAGGTCGGAATGCTGGTGTGATAAGTACAAACTTTGCGTAGCCTTTCGACGAGCAGTTCTTGTCCTTTCTCCTCAATCGGGCTCGATCAGGAGATTCTTTCCCTTTTCGTGTTAGAGAATGATTGCTTTAAGCTCTCAAATTCCCTTGTACTTGCCCAAAAGTGGAAAAAAAATCAACTCATGGGATGGGGACCCCTATTTATACTAAAAGTGGAGAGAATAAGGTACTAGGGTTTTCTTGGGACCAGTGCTGATGTCATTTACTGCAAGAGGCGGCTGGGCTTACTTTGGGCTTGAATCATTAGTTACTGGGCCGAGCTCGTCAGGCTTCCCTCTTCTGGGCCGAGTTTGTTGGGTCATTCGGTTCGCTAGGCTTTTTTCGGAAATGGGCTTTAAAGGTGACAATATTTGAAGCCCATGCCCAACATACATTTACAAGTAATGAAAACTTTTATACGCACACTGTTTTCATCCAAAAAACAAAAACTTTCATACGCACAAGTTTTTACTATCATTAAAGAAATAGATGTTATATATATCACACATCATTTTTCTTTTTCTTAATTACCAAAAGGTTCTGCACTGAAATTAGTAAAGGTAAATTTGCTAACTAACCAAAAAAA